TTAAGACCGAGATAGATAGGTTCTTGATTATCAAGGGGATCAAGGGTTACGGGGAGAAAATGAGAGAATGGGGTTGAGGAACTTATCAGCCATGATTGAATGGCGGAGCAGACTCGATGGGCCGAATGGCCTAATTTCTGCTCTTATGTCTTATAGTCTTACGGTCTTACATCATGACCTCAACTGATCACCTTAAATTGGTTCATAGTCTGCCTATAAGCACAATCAGGATTATTTAGTAAGTGCTGCACAAATGTGATTCTGTAATTGGCACTCTTCCATTTGTCCTGATGAGTGCAATTCAAAATGTTAAAGCAACAAAGTTTGGACTCAAAACATTAAAATTTTCTTTCTCTCCACAAATGCTGTCAGAAATGCCAAGTTTCCCTAACACTTCCTGGTTTTATTTGAGACCGTCAGTATCCACAGTATTTTTCTTTTATTTAAGACCTATAGGACAATACTATAGGTGAAAAATGTATGCATTGTCTGTATTCTTACTCTTTATAGTATGTCATCTACCATCAGAAAGTCTGTGAGCATAGTTCTTTAATGGTGAGTCATGCAGAAATTATAATCTTATTCTTTACTTAACTCTATATGTATGTTGAAAGGGTATGTCAATGTTCTTTTATGCTTTCTTTTTGAAACAAGCACATTTCTAAGTCATCAGCCAATCATTTTGACATCAGTAACTGAAGTCTGCACTTGCCAATTCTAGGAGTTAGCTATGTACAAACTCTGTAATAAGTGAGATTTCATCATATAAATATATACTTTCCTCCCAGCAGCAATCTTTTTTAGATCGTTTGTTAGAGACACAGAGAGTGGCAAATTGTAATTGTAAAAGCTGACTGTGGAAACCTTGTAATTATCAAAATTTTCAAAATATACTAACAGTGATTCTATAAATTAAGAAATAAAGTAACAAATTTCCCCTCAAATACTGAATATTTATGTTTATTAAATATAAAGTCAGAATCTTTTAAGTGTAACTTCCCTGAAGTTCAATGATGACAATCTGTGCAGTAAACTCATGTTACACACCTTTCATACAATGAAAACCTACAAGGGCAATTCACGGAAACAATGGTGGATATTGAAAAATAGTGGAAGATGTTAGATGAGGTGAATGGTTGAGGGGCTCAGCTTTGAGACAAAAAAGTAAGGCTAAGGGGAACAGCAGCAGAATTCCACAGTGTACAGGCCTGCTAATTACAGACTCATTAATGAATACTGGAACACTGATGGAGAGAGGGAACACATGGCAGCCTCAGCCAAAATAGAGGATTCAAGCTATCATTTGCACTGTACAGAAAAAAAATTTCGAGGGAGTGTAAAGCAAGGTTTTTAAGGCAGGGAAGTTGATTATGCGGTTTGGAACCTGGGAAACAGGAAACCAGTTGAAATCATTAAACATTACATCCAGGTTCTGATGCACAACACAATGCAGGCTTCAGAGGTATGATTTAGTTTATCCAAGTATCCAAAATATTTTCATAGCAAAGTTTAGAGAAATTGTAGCTATGCTAGAAGCACAGGAATATTCAGAATGGGTAAAGTCTATTCAACCTCTCAGGGCCCATGCTCTGCCAATTAGTTCACAGCTAATTTTGAATCCACTTTTTATCATCTATTGATATCCTTAGCTAACTAAAAAAAAATTCAGAATCAAATTTGCCTATCATTCATCCCGTTTTTGGTGAGTGCTCCAAACTTCTATTATTCTTTTTGCATTAAATTGTGGCTCAAAAGATTAGTTTGGGAGAAATGGGTTCTGATTCATGGGGCACTGGCAACAGTACTGGGGAAACTGCAGTGCTGTTCCTTTGGGACAGGCTTCATTTGATCCATGTTGGGAACCAGTTCCCAGCAGATTGTATAACACTAGAGTTATTGATAGGGATTTAAACAAATATTGGAGGGAAGAAGGTTCCATTGTGGTAATAGCGGTAAAAAATCATCAATGCTTAAGAGTCTATCTAAATACACGCAGTATATTTATGAAAACAGATGAGTTGACAGCATAAATAAAAATAAATGAGTATTACTTGATTGTTAATGCAGAGATGGTGTGCACAGTGACTAAGTCTGGGAATTTCATGTTTAAAGGTTTTCTGGAAGCATAAGCAAAAAGGGAAAAGAGAGGTGATAAACTTTGTTTAATAAAAGTTATCAGTGCATTGGTGAGTAGCGATATTGGTGCATTTGATCATGATGTGCAATTGGTTTTGTTGAAAATATAGAATAACAAAGCAATGAAAGTCATGGGTGGGGGTCCTGTAAAGACCCATGAAGAGTTGCCTCACTGTAACACAAAGCGTAAATCAGGAAATAATGGAAGCATCTAAGAAGAGCACTATAATACTCACGGGTTATTTTAATCACATATTGACTGGATAAAACAGATAGGCAAGGACGACATGGAAGAAGAATTAGTAGAGTGCATCAGGGATTTTCCTTAGATCATACATTGCAGAACGTACCCAGTAACAGATATAACAGAGTGTGGAGCTGGAGGAACACAGCAGGTCAGGCAGCACCAGAGGAGCAGGAAATTTCCAGCATCAGCAGTTCTTACCATCTCTACCCGGTAACAGAGCTTTTTTTAGATCTAGTAATGTGCAATAAGATAGGATTAATAAGAGATTACATTGTGAAAGATCCTCTAGCAGGTAGCGCTACAACAGAGTAGAATTTCAAATTTCAATTCGAGGGAAAGCAACTCAGATTTCAAACCTATGTCTTCACTTAAAAAAGGGCAATTACAGAGGAATGAAGAAAGAGATGTCTAATTCAGGCTGAAAAAATAGACGAAGGGGCAAGTCAGTCACTGAGCCAAGCCAGGTATTTAAACAGATATTTCATAGCACAGCAAAAATTTATTCCAGCAAAATCGAAGGACTCGAGAAAGATGAGCCATCCATGGTCAACAAAAGATTAATGAGGAGTGCATCCAGTCCAAAAAACTAAGGCATACAAAGTGAAAAAACTAGTGGTAGCCAGAGAATTGAGCTTTTTTTTAAGAAAAGAAATTGGCAGCACACAATTAACAAGCTACTACAGAGGAAGAAAATTGATTTGAACGTAAATTGGCAAGAAATATAAAAACAATCAGAAAGAGCTTCATGTGTATATAAAAAGAAAAAGAGTAGCTAAAGGAAGTGTGAGACCCATGAAGGATACAACTTGGGAATTATTAATCTGATATCCTGCATCCAAAGGTTTCAAAAAGGAAACTTCTGCAGAGATAGCAGAGGCATGGGTCAAAATATTCTATTCAAATATATTCCAAAACTAACTAGATTCCAGCAGATTGGAGAATTGCTAATGTGACACCCCTGTTCAAGAAGGAAGGGAGACATAAAGCAGAAAACAAGAAATTATAGGCCAGTTAGCCTAACATCTGTCATTGGTAAGATGCTAGTGCCAATTATTAAGGAAGAAATAGCAGGTTATTTCAAAAAGCTTAATGTAATTAGCGTCATCATGGTAGTTAAAGGGAAATGATATTTGACAAATTTACCTTTGTTCTTAGAGGATATAACGAGAAGAGTTGATAAAGAGAAACTGGGAGATGTAGTGTATTTGGAGTTTCAGAACATATTTGATAAGATGCCACATTATTGTCCAAGATTGTAGCTCATTGTACTGGGAGCAATAGAATAGCATGGCTTAAGGGTTGACTGACAAACAGAAGAGTCAGGAAGGGACAGGACTAAATGGTCTTTGTCAGTTGGAAAAATATAACTAGTGGAGTTCCACATGGATCAATCTTAGGACTTCAATTATTTACTGTCTATTAATGACTGGGGTGAGGTGGCAGTGTGTAATAAGTCCAAGTTCGCTGACAATACAAAAATACATGGGAGGGCATATTGTGAATGAGAACATGAGGAATCTGCAAAGGGATATAGATAGTTGGGTGAGCAGGCAAAAAATGTGGTAGATGGAGTTTAATGTAGGAAAGTGAGAAGTCATGCATTTTGGTAGGAAGAATCAAAAGGAAGATTACTTAAATTGAATGAGACACCAAATAAAGTGCAGAATAATATATGGGTATTCTTGTGCATGAAAAAAAAAGTCAGCATGCAGGTGCAGCAAATAATTAAAAAGGCAAAAGGAATTTTGGCCTTTATTGCGAGGTGATCGAGTTTAAAATTAGAGATCTTGTGACAAATGTACACGATGTTGGTAAGGCCACACCTGGACTACTGTGTACAGCTTTGGGGATAGTATTTAAAAGAGGCAACTCAAAGCAGACTTGCTCGGCTAAATCCTGGGATGAAGGGATTGACTTCAAGATTTCTAGACAGATTAGGCATAAAAATGGAAAACTTCAGTTCTGAAGAAGTAATTCTGGACTCTCTCTACAGATTCTGCCAGTGTGCTGTATTTCTCAAGCATTTTTGTTGTTTTTAAATCAAATTTCCAGCATCTGCAGTATTTTGCTTTTAGTGAACAGTTTAGGCTTTTATTCATTAGAGTTTAGAGGAATGAGGAGTGATTTTATTGAGACATACAAGATTCTGACGGAGCTTTACAGGATGGATGTTGACAAGGTGTTTCCACTAATCGGGGAATGTCAAACTAGGAGACATAGTTTCAGAATAAGGGGATATACATTTAAAGCTGAGATGTGAAGGAATTTCTTCTCCCAGAAGGATGAACATCTGGAATTCTGAGTGTTGTGGAAGCTACTGAATTATTTAACGAGGTAGATAGATTTTTGAAATATCAAGGCAATGAGGAGCTAGGATTAAAGAAGAATTGAAGCTGAGGCAGAGCAGCCATTACCTTATTGAACAATGGTACAAGCTTGACAGGTTAAGAGTCCCACTCCTGCTCCTATTTCTCACTGTCTTATGTAAATTTTGTTTCTAAGACTAATCGTTGATTCCACATATTTGCTATTTTCTCAGATGTACAGCAACAGATGCTAGTATTTAAATGCTAACCAAAAAGAAATGACTACCTCACATCATTTAAAATGTACTTACTTCCTTAATCTCTCAACCGCCTTCGTTTCTAGATCATTATGGGTCCGGGCCAGAACTGCCTCGTGCTGGGCACATTTTACACACAGACCAGAAACACGTTCTGAACTGTCTATTGCAAGCAAAGATTCTTGAACCTTTAATCGTTCTTCCAGCTGTTGACATTCCTTTTGAGATTCAGACAGATCTTTTCTAAAATATCACAAATAAGAAAATATTTTAACAATTACATTCACTGACAAGTGAGAATAAATACAGAAGGAAGTAAAATAATACAATGCAATTACCAATAAGCAAAAACAATCAAGCACAGAAGTGGCATTGTGAAATATTCAATTGAATAAATTACATAATGGTCAGCCAGCATTTTTAAAAATAATCTATTGGCTTGCTTTGTAAATGATGAATTCTGTAGCTTCTAACTATCAGGTGAAGTCCTAGTTCTTAATCAACACAGCCCTTGACGAGCTCTAAATGGGGCTTCCATTCAGCACTTTCCTGTAGCCATAAGTTGGAAGCATTAATGATCCACCAAACCAGTCTCTGATGTGGTTCGTTCGCTCGCCAAGTTGGTTCGTTGGTTCGCAGACGTTTCATTATCCTGCTGGGTAACATCATCAGTGCAGCCTCTGATGAAGCGCTGTTGTGTTTTCCCACCTGGTATTTAAACTCTTGGGTCTATTGGATTTGATTACCTCATTCCTGTTTTTCCTTCGCAGTGGTGTATATAAAGGGTTTAGTTCTATGTGTTGATGGCCTTCTTGGTAGAGAACCAGGCCTATAGGAATTCCCAGTTCTGAGGAAGGGTCACTGGACCCGAAATGTTAACTCTGTTTTCTCCTCCACAGATGCTGCCAGACCCGCTGAGCTTTTCCAGCAACTTTGTTTTTGCTCTAGGAATTCCTGTGCTTCTCTGTTTGGCCTGTCCTAGGATCCTGGTGTTGTCCCAATCGAATTAGTGGTTCAACTCATCCATGTGAGTGGAGATGAGTGAGCATTGGCCGTGTCTTTTTGTTGCTATTTGGTGTTCATGTATTCTTGTGGCCAAATTTCTTCCTGTCTGTCCAATGTAATGTTTGTCGCAGTCCTCGCGTGGAATTTGTATATCATGTTGGTTCTGTCCATAGTGCTAAAGGAGTCTTTGGTTCGAGTTAGCAGTTGGCGTAGGGTTAGCGTGGGTTTGTGTGCCACGCTGATGCCCAATGGTCGTAGAGTCTTGGGGTCAGTTTGGAAATGTTCTTGATGTATGGTAGCGTGACAAGTGTGTTAGGACGTGCAGCATCTTCCTAATGTTGTTCGTGTGATAGGCATCATTGGATCCAGTTGGTTGGTTGTCCTTAAATACTTGGTAGAGGTACTCTTCTTCTTTTTGGCGTAGTTCTGGGTTGCTACAGTGTGTTGTTGCTCATTTAAAATAGTGTTTTCACTCAACTTCGTTTGTGGGTGTTGAGGTGGTTACTGTTGAAATTCAGTACTTGGTCAGTGTGTGTGGCTTTTCTGTGTACCTTCATCAGGAATTCCCCATTGGCCCTGCGTTCTACCATGACATCCAGGAATGGGAGCTGTTCATTCTTTTCCTCTTCCCTGGTGAATTTGATGCCGGTGAGAGTGTTGTTTATTAGTTAGTATGTCTCCTCTAGTTTGGTCCGTTTGATGATGACGAAAGTGTCGTTCATGTATCGGATCCATAGTTTGGGTTGGATTTAAGGAAGGGCTACGCTTTCGAGTCTCTGGATCATCGCTTCTGCTATTAGTCCGGAAATAGGTGACCCCACGGGGGTCCCGTTGATCCGTTCGTAGATTTGTTGATGTTACTCAGCAGGGTAATGAAATATCTGCGAACTAATGAGCCAGCTCAGCGAGCGAACCAACCACAGCATCCACAACCCGAGCTTCAAATCTACTCAAAAACCTTACAGCAATGATGTGTATACAGATATAACACCATGCCACAAATTGTTTTCAACAGTTGCAATTAACTCTCACACCTAGTTCATACAACTGATATTTTCAGGTTGCTTCCAACTGAATCCATTTCCCAAATGAGCATTTCAAGAAGTCCTCAATCATAGAATAGGCCAAGAAAGACTATTGTCTCACCATATGTGAAGGTACAAGAATTCTGAAGCTGCTAATTTGATGAAGAAGCTGCAAGAAAGTAACTGTGGTATGAAATATTTCTGAAATCTGACCACCAGCCTATCAAAATCATGTGGACAATGATGGCAACTCAGAGGTTCCATGTTAAACAAAGTCATAGACAGGTGTCTATTAGGGTCCATTTGTCAAATCTATGGTGACTGAGAATTTGTGATTGGGATGGGATTGTGACCTTGAGAGTCCCTAGTCAAGAATCAGAAGTGAAAGATACACAAACGTCTTTAGACATCTGTGTAGGGGCAGATGTGTCTTTGGTAACAGCAATTGTACATGAATTGTCTTCAGAATATCTCATTCACCCCAAATGTGGATGAAACTAGAAAAGATGCCTTGAAAATAAGCTGTCCCACTTTCTCCTGGCTGGTGAACAACACCCTGCAGGATCTCCATTTCTATGGTTATCTGAAGGAAACTTCAAATGGTACAAAGTGCAAAGTTAAAACACTCGTCATAATCTCAAGAACTGTAGTTGTACTACTTGAGGTGATCAAGACTACAAATTGACGTCACTGCCCTTAGGAAAACCTGCCTTCCTGCAGAGGATTGCTGAAGGAAAAAACAGAGAAATGCACATTCTACTAGAAAGGCCAATAGCGATTTTTGTGCCTCTAGTGTAAGTTTTGCCATCTGGGACAAGATCTTGGATACACAACCAGAGCTCTCCAATTGTGTAAATGAAACACTCATGACACGTCATCTGCATAACCTCTGACATTGATGAAATCTTCACTGCTATCTGAAACAAAAAGATCATTCCTTTGGGATACTCCAGCCCAGAATAGACCATCACTCCAATGCATGTGGAATCATTGACTTTTCCCACTCCATTTGTGCCAATAAGAATGACATCCTCTTGCTAACAAATGCTATAGTCAGCATGGCCTCATTATGACACACACTCTCTTCCACCAGAAAAACAATTACAAAATCACATGGAAGCATCTCAGATCAAAGCTTTGCTACCGCCTGGATTACATAACTGTGCAGGTCAAAGATCTAACTGATGTCTGTATCACTTATATATGCAGGGGGTTGGTGTTGGCTGGAAGGATCAACAACATGTTCAAAAAGATGATGAACTTCTGCACAGCAGTAAGGGACTACAAGGTTCAAACTTCCAAGAAGAT